AAAATTTACGCACTTTGAAAAAAAATCAAAGTGCGTTAAATTTGGGACCAAGCTAACTCACTTTGAAAAATAAATTTTCTTTTCAAAGCCAAAAAAATATTACATGTTATGCTGTTAAAAGAATGTTACCAGAAAAAGAGAAAGGGGGAGGATGGAGAGGCGTTGGTATATATTTAGAGAATCACTGTCTAGTTTTGAGAGTATGCCAGGGCATCAACAATAGTGGGAAACATGGGATAATTTGCATAACGGGCGAAGCCCGTTATGCTAAAATTATCCCATGTTTCCCACTATTGTTGATGTCCCTGGCATACTCTCAAAACTAGACAGTGATTCCTTATATTTCCATTTCATTGTGAAATAAAATTGTAGATTTAGACTTTAAAAATGTAGACATAGACGATAATCACACGAGGACTTCCATGCTAATTTCAATAGTCCTCGCCCACTGACGTCAAACACATAGGCAGCCGCACGAGATTTACGTGCATATTTGGCATCCTTAGCGTCAGACACAGAGACAGATGCGCACGAGATTTGCATGCGTTAGCTCCTGACCTATCGACCTGCCTAATTTATACATTCCGGCAGAATTATCAAGAAATAAACTCCGAAAACTTTTAAAGAGTTATCACAGAGAAAAAAATTAGAAATGGAAATATAAGATATTATAGTATAAGGATTATTTGTTTCTATACATAACGTCTACAAACCTTGATATTTAAAAATGCAAGATATATTTGGGCGAAATCAGTATATTTTGATAAGAAAATAACTTGGGTTCCCTAAGGTTGAATGTATCCATACTTGTAAATATATACGGTCTACTTAAGGTGTATAAACCAGCATTGCATACATCTCCTTAAGGTATATATTGCATATGTCTCCCTAATGTATATATATTGCATACGTCTCCTTAAAGTATATATTGCATATGTCTCCCTAATGTATATATATTGCATATGTCTCCTTAAGGTATATATTGCATATGTCTACCTAATGTATATATATTGCAAATGTCTCCCTAATGTATATATATTGCATATGTCTCCCTAAGGTATATATATTGCAAATGTCTCCCTAATGTATATATATTGCATATGTCCCCTTAAGGTATACAATATAGTTTTTAAATATTAGGGGGACACCAAATTATATATATCTTTAAAAACTAATGTTTTCTTAATTTTCATTGTGAAAAACTCAAAATTGTTCTTTGTTATATGTAAATTTGCGCTTAAAACATCACAAAGTAAAAGATTAAAAAATATACAAAATGTCCCCTTAAGGCAGAATATTATGTCTGGTACCCCTTATGTAGAAAGCAGATATATATATATATATATATATATATATATATATATATAGTTTGGTGACAAAATTTTAATAAGTGGACAACTGTGAGGAAAATTCATTAAAAAGTATCAAAAAGAAAAATGCTAAATTATATGACTACAATATTAAGTTTTGCACGCTATATGCTTTCATCTGCAAAGGGTTTTTGTTATTTGTATTTTCAAAAATGTTAAAGTAGTATAAAACATGTAAAATGAATCAATAATTGATGTTGATCCACATTATTATATTATTTTTATGATTTTGTATGTAATAACAACCATTTTTGCACGTTCCCTGATTGCTGCAGTTATTCTGACATATGCTAGTTATTTCCCTTGCTACTTCTGGTTTCGCCTGTTGAAGCGTTTGGTTGAGGTTGATGAAGGCTTTACATTGGTCGATGGCGCTTTCTATGTGGAATATTACTAAGGAAGGATCTCCTGTTAACTAGACAAAATATATGGAAAATTCATTAAAAAAAAGTAGTAAAAAGATGTGTCGATGAGATCATATAAAGAAATTTCACAGAAAAAAAGTAGTAAAAAGATGTGTCAGTGAGATCATTTGAATTTTTATTATGATTTAGAAATATACATGTCACAAAGAGAATGTACATGAAAGCAAACGATTTTTTAGTATGCTTGATAAATCAAAGGATTCAACGACTTTCAGTGTTGTTTGACTGAAATCAAACCTCGGAGTGATTATGTGACGATCCAATACACTGAAAAAAAAATTATAATAAGAATTCAAATGATCTCACCGACACATCCAAGATACAATCCTTCAAGGAGTCACTCGAAAAATCTGCGACATTATCTTGACAGGTTTTGGATGCAAAGGACGCTTCGAATGCCGCTTTGCATGTAGTTGTTGCGTTCTCAGTTATATCATAAGCTTGTCGTTTAACTCTCTGCAATAGTACAAAAAACTTGAACAAATAGGAGATAACTCGTGTGAATAAATGATATTGATTTGCTTTTGTGAACAGACTTACGTTTGAAAGAGTAAGTTCAATGGGATCCGGAGAGAAAGATTGCATGTATATTGCATGACGCTTGCGTCTGCTAGTGCTACTGTGAAGAATACATTCATACTCCTTTCCCCGCGTGATATCGCTACAGTCTGTGAATTGTTGATAGCTGCACTCAGTTACACCCTTGTTACATGCACAGAATTTTACTTTTGTCAGCGATAAAGATTTCAATGACCCGAAATCCATGGAAGGAGCAAACAGATCTTCTGTTGAACTAGCTCTGATAAATTATTCGTAGAAAGATTCATATGTCAGGTCAATAAAGTATAAAGATTAATATCAGATATATCGCTTTAACAGTCTAGTCCGACACCGAAATCCAAATTTTATTTCAAATTACAAATATTTTTATTCATTAAATATGCCAGCTGAAACTTTAATAGTCAATCCTAATACAAATATGTAACTAAGTGCCAGTTTGATTATCAGGGTTTTATTTATGTACGAGATTTGTCCGGTAAAATTGTGGACAAGTTTTCAAGAAATAAATAAATCAACATTGATTTCTAAAATTTACACTTCTCTTTTCCAAAATTTTCATCAATATACATGTAGCAAATTTTAAATACATACATGTCAATGTAAACAAAATATGGTATTTTATGTTAACCGTTCAAAATATTAGGGAGAATTTCGAAAATTGGTTTAAATTTTCCAGATGTTGAAACACTAATTAGTGAATTGAAAATGTGATACTTTTTATTTTTCCCCAGTCATTTCTGTTTAGTATTAATTTTTTTCTAAATCATATGCTCTGATGAAATTTTGTTTGTGTGTTTTATGATCATACTCTGTGTATATTTTATTAAAATTCATCTAAGTATAAATACATTATGAGAAATAGAGATTTGCTGAAATAATCATGTTGCATTATTTCTCAATACATATTTTACCAGAGAACGTACGTAATTTATATGGCTTGTATTTTGTGAAAAATGCATACCTTCAGGATATAGAGAATGCATCCGGAGGAGTACGATAGTTGAAACTGTTTGGATTGTCAACTATTCCAGATCTTCTAGTCAAATCATTCTGAATATTCCCATCCAAGAGACCACATAGTCCCCCCGATTTCCCTACGTCAGCAACAGACGGATACACCTGTGTCTGGATAAAGCAGTCTCTGGCCATATTGAGTGTGGCGACATATGTTCCCGTTGGAAGGAATATCTAATTTTATATACACATGAGAAAGTTAATTTAAGGCAAGTAAATTCTGGACATTATCCTAACTATAGGTGTATTTAACGTTTAAAAGGAAAAAAATAAAAAAAATAAGTAAAAACCTCAGAAAGAATTTGAATGACTGTATATTATTATATAAATGCATTTCTTTTATTTGTATATTATATAATTATGGACTCTTTGTAGTGAATATGTAGTATTATGAACTGTTTGCGCTTTTAAAATTATATAGGGAATATAAACTATATAATATATATTTGACAGAAGATAAGAAATGTTCTATAAATTTAAAACATTTTACCTTTTAACTAGTACAGTATACACTCAAATTTTGTTTTTATTACCTTGTATGATTTGTCTGTCATCCTCACCACCTTTAATGATTTATCATCACAGATTGGGAAATTAATGTACTGGCGACCATTACAGGCATCAAACATAAACACGTCTCTCCCCTAGAGCGAACAGCTACTGCACAGATACATCTAGCATTCGGATTAAAGCATTTGTGGTGCCTCACTTGTACCTTATAATGAAACATAAATCTGGGTTAAATATTCAAGAAATAAAGTCCGCTTTGTGATTTATTGGAGAATAATGTCCGCAGCATTTCTTTGAACTCGGTAATAATCGTGGTAGAATATTAAATACATATACGTGGATCGTACAATATGCCACACGGTTGCATTTAAATTGTAAACAGATACCTGTTGATTATGTTCTTTGTTCTCAAAGAGAATGCTGGTTATTCCAGTGGCACAACCGGTATCTTGGCATTCATAGCCGCTGTGGATCAATAAATAAATTTTAAGAATTTTATTAGGCCTCGTCTGTGTATTCAAAACGGTGAAATTATCATATCACTGCGTACTATCCTCAACTAAATCACATATTTAATATCTCGGTATGTTTTCTTTTTTTAAATCCGCATTCAATATTGAAAAGTAATAGATTTTGCCTTTAAAATTTATGTATTATTTTAAGATCTCCATCCTCTGATGTAAGATTGTAATAGTAAAGACACAAGTCCGAGAGATTTACAGTTTGTTTTCCTTTGATTTTTATTTCAGAATACCAGACTTACTATCCATCAAACGTTCTCATGTGGGGGTCTGCGACAGACTGACATAGCTTTCCTTTCCAGACCGTCAGCGTCTCTACAACGTTTATCTGTAAAAGAATATTATCTCGCAATTGATAAAAAAGAAATAAAAATAAACTGAAAGATGTCATTTTATGTAAATTATATTTAAATTACAATTAACATGAGGTAAAGAAATTAACTAGTATCTCCAAAGTTGCAAGCTTACGAGGGCTGTTCGGAAATTATTGAGACAGTGTGTATATTTTTCTTTATAAAGAACGTCTTTCGGTGAAAATTTGCATATGCGTTTGACAAACATTCAGAAATCATAAAAGCAAGATATAATTTACAAATATTAGATTTTTTTTATATTCAATGGTATTAAAATATGTCAATGGTAGGGGTACCCGTTGCAGTCACAAAAGCAAATATTGAAATATGTATCACCAACGTTCAATCCCTGAGCGGACCCATATTTAGAGCGAGATTAATTCAATTCAGGTATATATTTTTTCAATTTTATTTTAACTTCATGTTCAGCAAGTTTGTAAAAATTCCCATCAGAAATATGAAGATCATTGAAATAATAAAGCGCGGTATAGCAATCAGATTACAACGATAAAATGGATTTTGACGTTAAGGCGGAGCAGCGAGAGACCTAAAATTTTGTGTAGCGCTATGTAAAACTCATTTCTAGATTGAACAACTTGCTAAAACATTAACAATGGAAAAACATGTCGAAGGGGTTTGTTATTTCATTTGTATGGTGTTTTTTTCTAACCTATAATTTCACAAAGTATAATCAAACGCTCTGAACAACCGTCAATTTTTACCGATACGGAATTGAATGTTCACCCTCGTTGCAAAAATCGGCATTGCATGATACTAAATCACTCTGTATATATGACGCATGAAAAATTAACACAAGTGTAGCAACCGAACATTTGTTTAAAGAATCGTTTAAAAATGTAGACAGTTTGATTTTTGTATGGTATGTATGATAACAAAGGAAGGAGAGAAAATGCTTCCTAATAGGTTCACATGCGGATACATCTCCGGCTAACATGACGTTAAAATGACGTACTGATGGTGCTCCGGGTCGATAGACATATGCATTGTACGATATCACCAGAAATTATCTAATTATCATAGAAATTAGAAATTTTGCAAAACTTTTTAATTTGTTCTTCGTTAAAGGTTGACAAATTTTCCTGAATTTATCTCTGTTCTTTATGGAGTAAAAGTAAAAGTCTGACAATAGATTACCACTTTGAATGTCAAAGTTGATAATTAAGGTCTTCCGTCTTCACGGAAGACCTTATAGTGATTGTATTGTTTCTTATTAAGGTCTTCCGTCTTCAGCGGAAGACCTTCTAGTGATTCTACTGTTTCTTATTATTATTATTATTATTTTTTTTTTCCCCAAAATTTTGTGCAGGCGATTTCTCGAAAACTATTCGGTGGTTTTCAATGAAGCTTTCAGGAATCATGCGTCATTATATGATCTTTGTTCATCAGAAGGAAAATTTGGAATACTCACCTTTGGTTCCAAGTTATTGACAGTTTTCTGATTTTAAAATGGATTTTTGTCCCCCCTTTTTTACGAAAATGGTCTAAGATATTAACTGGACACTTGTTAGAGATGATAGATGTTGACTTTTAGATATGTGAAATCACCTTTTCGTGTGTCGTCAGTACTTCCGGTCGCTAGCGGAAGCGAATTGAAATATTCCGTATTTTCTAACTTTTTTGTTTTTCAATATTTTTCATTTATTTTTGGAACGTTAATAGAAACCGTTCTTATAATGCTTACTATATTATTTGTTTGAACATTGATAAATCCAAACTCTAGATATTAACATTCAAAAATCTGAAGCGGGTCCAATATGGCGGCTGTCTATGTCAACTCCGACATTTCGCAATAGGGGTTTTCAGAGGCAGCCAAACGTTTGCTTGAACGAAAGTAAATAAGGATAAATGAAATGTAAAGGAATACGGGGATTGTCACGATGTAGTTACGTTGCAATTCTGTGTCAAACTAAGTTTAAATCCATGGCCGTCTCAAAAGGCTTCTATAATTGGTTTCCGCTGGTTCTCAAAGTAGAAAAAGAAAAGAGAAAAGACTACATGTGCAAATGAAATACATACCTACTATCATTTGTTTTGCGGAAAAACATATCTTAAATCATAGTTACAAATAATAGTTTTAAGAAACAATATCGAGGTATATATAGTAAGTATTAAACGTATCCACTGTTTTGCTCATGCACACTTGAGTCATATTAAACTAACAGGAAAGACAAACATAAGAAAAAGACTTTTTTGAAGAATTTAGTTTATATTAATATTCTTGTCTCAAAGATATGGTTTTAGTTATTGAACACAAATGGTATCTGATTCCTTTACCGTCTTAGGGCGACACATGTTTTTCGGCGAAACATTTCAACCTTTTCATGAAGTTTAACTAATCGAGATAGTTCAGTATGGGGATGAACAGGAAATTGAAAAAAGTAAAATATTATAGCAGTTTCATTGACTTAGTGTTACTTATCTATTTACGTCATAGAATTTGTAAATGTGTTACAAACAATTTCTTTACCTTGAAATTTTAGCTATAAAAACGTTCTTTTTTATTTCCATTGAAGATTTCACACCTATTTAATGGGACGTTCCAAAGAAAAGGCGCGAAGATTCACTCGTGGCGTTTGGCGCTATATTTTGAATAGTAACCCGCCTTTCATTATTCTAAGACAGATATACTGTTTCAGAAGTATATACAAGTAGATTTAGAGCTGTGGTCCCAATAGCGTAATAGTAAGCGCTTTGGATTTTCATGCTGGCGACCCGGGTTCAATCCCCTTTGTTTCCATAAAAAGTTTTATCACTTTATCAGCTCGATTTTGCGGAGTGTTTTTTTTTCAGAATCGGACGGAAGACCTCTCGTTGCTCGCAACGAGTTTCTTTTCTAGTTATTCTTATTATTCTTTTTTTTTGACAAAATTTTGTGCAGGGATTTCTCGAAAACTATTCAGCGGTTTTTCATGAAACTTTCACAAAATATGTGTCATTATATGAAGTTGTTACATCCGAAGAGAAATTTGGAAAATTCGCTTCTGGTGCTAAGTTATGGACGATTTCCTGATTTTAAAATGCGATTTTGTCGCCCCTTTTTTCGAAAATGGCTAACAATATGATATGGAGACTTATTGGAGACGATAGTACATGACTTTGTGGTTTGCAGAATTACCTTTTCGTTCGCCGTCAGTACTTCCGGTCGTTACCAGATGCGAATTCAAAAAAATCGTTTTTTCTAACTTTTTTGTTTTCCAATATTTTTCATTTATTTTTGGAATGCTAACAGTAACCCTTCTTATAATGCTTACTATATGATTTGTTTGTTAATTGATAAATCCAAACTCTAAATATAAGCATTTAAAAATCTGAAGCGGGTCCAATATGGCGGCTGTCTCTGTCAACTCCGACATTTCGCAATGGGGGTTTACGGATGCAGCCGAGCGTTTGCTTGAACGAAGGTAACATAAGGATAAATGAAATGTAAAGGAATACTTGGATTGTCACGTCGTATTTACGTTGCAATTCTGTGTCAAACTAAGTTCTTCTTAAACGTCTTCTATAATTGGTTTTGGCTGGTTCTCAAAGTAGAAAAAGAAAAGACTAAATGTGCAAATGAAATTCGATACCTAATATCTTCTGATTTGCACCACGGAAAAACAGATCTTAAATCATAGTTACAAATAATAGTTTTCAAGAAAGAATATCAATGAATACAGTTAGTATAAAACTTGTGTCATAATACAAAATAAGATAACTATTTTTAAAAGGTCGCTTAATGGGGTTTATATGAAAATTATTGTCTCGAAGATCTGATTCAAGTTATTGAGCACAAATGGTATCCAATTCCCTGACTGTCGAAAGGCGAGACATGTTTTTCGGCGAAACAGTACAACTTTTTCATGAAAGTTTAACTAATCGGGAGAGTTCACTTTGGGGATAAAAAGGAAATTTAAAAAAGTCAAAAATCCATAGCCGTATCACTGCTTTAGTCTTACTTGCTTACATACGATATGGAATTTGTAAAATTAAATGTGTTGAATATACTTTCTTATCCTCGACTTTAAGGCTATAGGAACATTTTTTTATTTCATTGAAGCTATCATACCTATTAGATAAAACATTCCAAAGAAAAGGCGCTAAGATTAATTAGTGGCGTTTCGCGCGAAATTATGAATAGTGACTCGCCTTTCATCATTCTAAGACAAAATCACTGTTATACAGAGGTATATAAAAGAAAATTGAGCAGAGGTCACAAAAGCGTAATATTTAGCGCGTTGGATTTTCATGCTGGATTTTGATGCTGACGACTCAATCCCCCTTATGTGCAATTTTTGTTTACTTTTTCAGCTCAATTTAACGTTTTCTTTCCGGAATCGGACGGAAGACCTCTCGTTGCTCGCAACGAGCTTCACATCTAGTTATTATTATTATTCTTTTTTTGACAAAATTTTGTGGACGGGATTTCTCGAAAACTATTCAGCGGTTTTCAACGAAACTTTCACAAAAAATGCATCATTATATGAAGTTGTGCAGTCTATATTTTTTTTTCGAAATGTCGCTTCCGGTGCCAAGTTATGGACAATTTCCTGATTTTAAAATGCGTTTTTGTCGCGCACTTTTATCGAAAATGGCTGAGGATATGAACTGGAGACTTATTGGAGACGATAGCTCATGAATTTCTGGTTTGCACAATCACCTTTTTGTGCGTCGTCAATACTTCCGGTCGTTACGAGATGCAAATTTAAAAAATCGTATTTTTCTAACTTTTTTGTTTTTAAATATTTTTCATTTATATTTGGTATGCTAATAGAAATCTTTCTTATAATGTTCACTATATAATTTGTTTGAATATTGATAAATCTAAACTTTAGATATTAGCATTTAAAAAGCTGAAGCGAGTCCAAGATGGCGGCTGTCCCTGTCAACTCCGACATTTCGCAATAGGGGTTTTCGGAGTCAGCCGAGCGTTTGCTTGAACGAAAGTAACACAAGCAAAAATGAAATGTAAAGGAATACTTCGATTGTCACGTCGTAGTTACGTTGCAATTCTGTGTCAAACTATGTTCTTCTTCAACGTCATCTATAATTACATTTGGCTGGTTCTCAAAGTAGAAAAAGAAAGACAAAATGTGCAAATGAAATTCGATACCTAATACCTTCTGATTTGCAACACGTGAAAACAGATCTTAAATCATAGTTATAATTAATAGTTTTTCTAGAAACAATGTCAATGAATATAATAAGTATAAAAATTACAAACTGTTTTTCCAATGCACACTTGTGTCATATTAAAAAAATAGAAAAGACAAAATAAGATAACAGTTTTTTAAAAGATCGATAAATGACGTTTATAGTAACAATCTTGTCTCAAAGATCTGATTCAAGTTATTGAGCATAAATGGTATCCAATTCCTTGATTGTCTTCGGGCAACACATGTTTTTCGGCAAAACATTTCAACCTTTTCATAAAAGCTTAACTAATCTGGATAGTTCATTTTGGGTATAAACAGGAAATTTCAAAAAAGTTTAATTCAATAACTGTTTCATTGCTTTAGTGTTACTTGCTTATATACAATATGAAATTTGTAAAATGTGTTAAATATACTTTCTTCACCTTGATATTTTAGCTATAAGAACGTTTTTTTTTTTCTTTCCATTGAAGCTATCACACCTATTTAATGGAACATTTTCAACAAAAGGCGCGACGATTTACTCCAGGCGTTTGACGCAAAATTATGAATAGTGATTCGCCTTTCATAATTCTAAGACAGATGTACTGTTGCAGAAATATAATTATACAAATACATTTAGAGCTGTGGTCCCAATAGCGTCATAGTAAGCGCATTGGATTTTCACGCTGGCGATTCGGGTTTAATCCCCTTTGTTTCCATAAAAAGTTTGATCACTTTTTTTGTGTTTGTGTTTTTTTTTTTCAGAATCAGACGGAAGACCTCTCGTTGCTCGCAACGAGTTTCTTTTCTAGTTATTAAGGTCTTCCGTCTTCACGGAAGACCTTATAGTGATTCTACTGTTTCTTACATTTGTATTATTCTTATTAAGGTCTTCCGTCTTCACGGAAGACCTTATAGTGATTCTATTGTTTCTTATTAAGGTCTTCCGACTTCCTTCGGAAGACCTTATTGTTTTCCTTCTGTTTTCTATTATTATTATTATTATTCCACTTTTCATAGTACAGGTCATATCTCCGCTGTGCGTGGATCAATTTGAAGGATTTTTTCAGGGATGGTGCACCATGTTAATATCTCCAGGGGTGTCCCTCAATTTTTCGAAATTTACTTCCGTTCGCAATTTTTGGGGAAATTTGTATTTTTTTAATGGAATTTTGTCGCAAAAAATTCTCGAGAACAGTAACAGATATAAAACTGAAACTTACGGACGTGATAGAACATCGAATGTAGATGTGTTGATCGACCTTCATTTCTCGTCGTTCTGACTTCCGGTCGCAAACGGATGTGAATTCTAAAAGTCTAATTTTTCAACTTTTTTGTTTTTCACTATTTTTCTTTGGAAATCACAGGGTTGATAGAGTATTTTTTAAGAACTCTAAATATGTTTTCAACATTTTCATGCGTGCATTTGTTGCAAAGATATCACCGATCCAAACTTTGTCTCACTGCCGGGGGTTCGAATCCCGCTGGGGGCGTTGCAAAATTTTTTTCTTTGTTTCTGTCTTTTTTCAGTTACATATGACTTTTCTTTCTTTTTTATGATGTATGGAAGATTTTGTCGATTTTTAAAAGATATATTTTGAGATATTTTGTGGAATAACTGTAATAATCACGATCTATGTTGAGAGACTGCTGTCAATTAAAGTAAACGATAGAAATACATTCTGAAATCTATTTCATGGCCTGACGGAGCAGATATTTCTAACGAAAAGTCGGGCGGAAGACCTGCTTGTTGCCCTAGCAACAAGAACGCATCTAGTTATTATTATTATTCTTTTTTTTTGACAAAATTTTGTGCACGCGATTTCTCGAGAACTATTCAGCGGTTTTCAACGAAACTTTCACAAAAAATGCGACATTACATGAAGTTGTGCAGTCTATAATTTTTTTGGAAAATTTCCTTCCGGTGCCAAGTTATTGACGATTTCCTGATTTTAAAATGCAATTTTGTCGCCCCTTTTTTTCGAAAATGGCTAAAGATATAAACTGGAGACTTATTGGAGACAATAGTTCGTGACTTCTGGGTTTGCAGAATTTCCTTTTCGTGTGTCGTCGGTACTTCCGGTCGCTAACAGTAGCAAAATCAAAAAGTACATATTTTCTAACTTTTTTGTTTTTTAATATTTTTCATTTGTTTTTGGAATGTTAATAGAAACCCTTCTTTTAATGCTAACTGTATAATTTGTTTGAATATTGATAAATCGAAACTCTAGATATTAACATTTAAAAATCTGAAGCGGGTCCAAATGGCGGCTGTCTCTGTCACTTTGACATTTCGCAATAGGGGTTAACGGAGGCAGCTGAGCGTTTGCTTGAACAAAAGTAACATAAGGACAAATGAAATGTAAAGGAATACTTGGATTGTCACGTCGTATTTACGTTGCAATTCTGTGTCAAACTAAGTCCTTCTTAAACGTCTTCTTTAATTAGTTTTGGCTGGTTCTCAAAGTAAAAAAAGAAAAGATTATGTGTGCAAATGAAATTCGATACTTAAAAACTTCTGTTTTGCACCACGGAAAAACAGATCTTAAATCATAGTTTAAAGTAATAGTTTTTGAAGAAAGAATACCAATGAATACAGTAAGTACCCGGTATAGAACTTAACCTCTGTTTTTCCCATATAAAACTAATAGAAAGATAACCATTTTTTAAAAGATCGCTTAATGGAGTTTATATTAACATTCTTGTCTCAAAGATCTTATTCAATTTTTTGAGCACAAATGGTATCCAATTCCTTGACCGTCATAAGGCGAGCCTTGTTTTTCGGCGAAGCATTGCAACCTTTTCATGAATGTTTAACTAGTCGGGATAGTTCACTTTGGGGATAAAGAGGAAATTCAAAAAATTTAAAATTCATAGCCCTTTCACTGCTTAAGTGTTACTTGCTTACAAACGATATGGAATTTGTAAAATGTGTAAAATATACTTTCTAATTGTCGAATTTTAGGCTATAAGAACGTTTTTTTATTTCATTGAAGCTATCACACCTATTAAATAGAACATTCCAAAGGAAAGGCGCTAAGATTATCTCTCGGCGTTTGGCGCGAAATTATGAATAGTGACTAGCCTTTCATAATTCTAAGATAAAGCACTGTTATACAGAGGTACATGTATATACAAGAAGATTTAGAGCAGAGTGCCCAATAGCGTAATATTTAGCGTATTGGATTTTCATGCTGGCGACCTGGATTCAATCCCCCTTGTGTGCTTTATTTTTTTTTTTACTATTTCAGCTTGATTTTACGTTTTTTCCCGGAATCAGACGGAAGACCTCTCGTTGCTCGCAACGAGATCGTTTCTAGTTCAACTTACATTTATATCAGGTAGAGTGACGTCATTAAAGATGTCAGCAGCATTTCTCCCCCCTTTACTTGTTGTCATTCTTAAGATGATCTGTTTGACGTTATTGTTGTAAGCAACATTGTCTGTATTGTGAACCTCCATTTCATATGTTTTATACCAGGAATTATCAGCAAACTTTTGTCTTTGGTCGTAAGTTATTCCTTCTATTGTTATTTTACAGAGATTTGAACTGCCCGCCGCACATTTTGCTGCTATTTGCGTAGGAAAGGATATGGTTACATCTAAACTCCCTGCAAAATACTTCCTGAGACGTTTACTGTAGAAGGTTTCCGTGGCGAATGGAATGGTTGGTCGGATCTTCACTGTGGCTGATCCCTTTCTTTCCAATGTTAATGTAGGCGTCAAAACCTAGCAGCAAAGTTATTTTATCCATTATTGTACATTGTATTTATTATTGACATATAAAGGAGCGATTTAAAAGAATACTCGTAGTTTTTTTTTAGTTAAATTAATTGAAGCAATTGTAATTGAAGTTAGGCAACAGTCAAGGAATATGATTTATGTTATGAAAAAACTAGATATGAATAGTAAGTCTAATATTTTTTCTCATATTGCTAGAAATTCACAAAAGTACAATCTCGTCAGATTTTTGTTGTAAATTACTGTAGAATCACCATCGTTTGTGGGGATCCAATGTTCGTGAATTTCGTTTATCTCCCTTACCCACGAAGAACGAGGTACGGTTTCAATACAAATCTGGCTCAGTATTTTTTTCTTAAACGATGTTAGAAACTGTTATTCATCCTTTCTAAATTATTAGAATTCTATGCAGTAAAACATGCCAATGGTTTTTCAAATATGACCTCCTAAATGCTAATTGTGACTTCAAGAATTTGTGTTCTATCCGTATTGTCTTTTAAAGTTGCAGAAGGAATCAATTTTTCAGTGGAATTTTCTTTCAGAAAACTTTCAGTGCATGCATCGCCCACAAAGATTTTTAAATGTGCGAATCTTCGAAGCGTTTTACACAATAAGCGACGGCAACAGACATTATTTTCTAAAGGAAAATGCGCACATAAATGGTTCACTTTGAGCCTTTTCTGCATATAACTTAAAAATGCACCAAATTATTGACGTCAAATTTCCAGAATGGACCTCATTTGAGTCATATTCTTTAATGAAATATATGTAGATAACGAACTGTATTGAAGATGTAAAGTCCATAATACAAAATATTAGTAGGTGCAGAGCAAACACGGACCTCCAAAACCCCAGAGGTGGGATCAGGTGCCATGGGGGAGTGCGTATCCCCTGCCGACCGGTCACACCCGCCTGCGCTCCTTGTCATGATATCGGAAAAACCCGTAGTCAATTCAGTGTATGAATATTGGACTAACAATAAGTATGAAATGATTTATCACATTCATCTACTCAGCTCATGTTAAAGCATATTTCATTACTTTTAAAGACACATTTTAAGGCACAATAAAGACCCAACTGTACCTTCTTCACTATATCCCATGAACGATTATCTCATCTACGTATTGTTTCCATGTATTAACTGTGTGAATGAGTAAATCAACGCACCTGTAAAATTTTGCTTACCCACAGACATTGACACTACGGAATAAAATGATTTCACAGTAAATAATTTACCTGAATGCCAGCAAAGAAAAGAGAACTGGGAGGGGTAGAACATGGCTTGTCTTTTTCTGTCCATTTGGCTCCTACAATGCACTGAATCTGCAAATTACAGAAGTACCTTGTTCATCGTAAATATAAAAAGTATTTTATTTTTACAATAATAATAATGTATTTTGCAAGACTTTATTACGATTTTTAAATCTTCATTTCATTTTCTCTTATTTTCTGATCACAACGTATCATCTTTTTAAAGCAACTTTTAATTGATATTCATCAGATATTTTATTTATTCAGCATTTACTTTTGCTGATGATAAATCTAAGATTTACAGAGGCTCCAATTTTGATATTGAGGTCACTTAGAAGCTGAGTGGACAGTGTGGCCTTATTCAACGAAGACGATGTGACAGTCTGACCAGATATAATGGTTTTGGTGTTAAAAATCCAGTCTATATCATAGAACAATGTCTGGTCATCCAGCGGCGTGAAATCACATCTGAGGTTAACTACAGGTGTGTACTGTATGACATTAGTATCCCCCCGTTCTGTGTACTCCACGTTGTGATAAATAACCCGTGGATTTTTGGGCACCTCATTAATACCTTTTGTCAATAAAGAACATTCATTCATGGAAATTCATATATTAAGGTAAGGCGTTATATTACGTAAAAAAATAAATTTCATATGAATGAACATTGATTAACAGAAATATATTTTGTTCAGTGCTTTGACATCTCGTCTCTCTACTTACAGTTTGTCTTTTTCTCTGCAAAGAAAAACAACTGATTTCTTTAACTTTTAGATTTCTCTGGTTTTGACTGATAAAGGAATTTTATTTAAGATGAATTCGTTCACATATTAATACACAGCAATGTAAAGTCATAAATAAATGCACAAAAGCAAAATAAACCATGTTTTAAAACCCTCTTCAAAATAACAATCTCGTTCTTAACATTTTAAAACAGATTATATTATATGGAAAACTATCAGAAATTCATAATAAAATTTAAAAAAAAAACTTTTTCTACTTTTAAATCCATTCATTACCTTCAAATGAAAGTACAAAAAACAAGACACCATTTGGACATAGTAACGACACGCAGCAGCTTTATTTTTACAATGTACATAACATATGCAATATGAAAATCAATTTGTATATACATGTTTATGTTGGATTGAATAAATCATGATAAAATTTAAACTTTATCGTGCTCTACGTGTCGTCCTAACGTGGAATTAAAACCACTATTCACCTCTTATATAGCCATGCTAACGAAACCAGTTCAAAAGAACCATGTGAAATTCAACAGGTATTCGAATGAAAACCTTGTAATTCCGAAAAAAGTAATTCATTATCACACCAATTAGAGATTGATTTCTGTCTAATTTGTTCCTCAAACGAAAGAAATCATATTTCTCATTAACCCTTCAATTTGCTTTGAATAAGATACGAATAAATTACCAAAGCATCAGGCTGAGTTACACAGAGAAAGAGGCATGA